AGTCGACTGATGCAGTCAATTATGAATGGGTGGATGTTGAAGTGGTGGATACCTCATCTGTTATAAGTATTAAAGCGACAATATATGATGCTAACATCAAGGTAGGTGACTCCCTAAATTTGTCAATTCTTCTTATGACTATGGAGAATAGTATATACATCTCTCTTGATGACTGATTGGTCCCACTTTATGAATGTCTATTCACTAGGATAGAATTGCGGTTGCCTTTCTCTAACTTTAAGGTGGTTGTCCTGAAGCATTTAAAGGTTTCCCTTTCCCAGATCCATCTATGGGATTGGCCTTATATGATAGAGTTCTAATTTTGTGTCCAACATAAGTCTTGGATGCCTTCTATTGGGATATTCTTTGACTTGTTCTCTATGGTGTACACTTCTCAAGACAACACCCTGACAAAGGGTTTATTACTTTCCACCTGAACGATCCTTAGTTCAACCATTTCACATGTGACTAGGGAAATTTTTAAAGGCGGTTCTTGCTGGTGAAAGCCCTCACTCCAGAGGCCCATATCACTCTTTGTTATTCTTCGACTGGATCTTCCCATTTTTATACATAGTATCAACTACTACCGTATAAGGCAGGTCCTTTTTCTCCGAAGAGGTAACGATGAACGAGAACTTATGTTCTTGGTTTCAAGCCTATGGCTACGAGGAAGGATTTAACCTCCTCTTACATAGGCTTGAACTTCTTCAAGTACTACCGCATACTATGTAAGAAGTGACGCCTCCTCTTACAACTATTGCTCATATCCTAGTACCTAATATTGTTGTTTTTTTCCTTGGGTTGACCAACTTTCTAGTGCTACAACCATTTTAATTATGAAGGATACGTAGCCATCTCCCATTACAACAAAGAGGGGTTGAGATAAAGACTGGAATTTCTCTCTATAAGAGGGATCTCTCAAACGAACCCGTCTGATCAGGGACATATCTTCAAAAACCATAACCCCTTCGTGTAGATGTCTGCCATTCTTCCTTATCATCTTGTTAACACTCTTGAGGAAGTTTTTGTTGATGTATCGACAAATTTTATTTCCTGCATCTAAAACCTATATGAAGAGTTAAAGATGGATCTCCTCCCAGAGATCACCTTTAACATGTACTAGGTTTCTTCTTTGTTCACTTTGGCTGCTGCTGGCAGTGGGGATGTCCTGAATGTAAGAAATCCTTCCAAGAAACGGGACATTTGGATGGGTAAATATGAAAATTAGAGTGTAAATGCTCAGCTATCCAAAAGGAGTTGGCCGTTTTGCAAGAGAAGTACAAGCTTATTAACTCTTTACAAGAGGAGGTGAAGACCCCCAACTTTCCTTCTAATCTGGATGCTCGGGTTGCTGAGTTAAAGTCCTTTCTTGAGGCGGAGAAATAAGGCGTCAAAAAGCTTATGATGTTGTTACTAAGGAAAACTACAATGTGAATGAAGATCATAAGACTCTTTAGTGGGAAGTAGAGTATTATGTTGAGGCCTTAAAGGCTCTTGAGAGTAAGGTGGCTTGTCTGAGGGAGAAGTTCCATGATTCTCTTCAGTGATCTATATAGGGCATGTTTTGGGTCTGCGATAAATTCGTGGAATAGGCAAATGGGTTTTGTCTTGAAGCCACTATTCTTGTTGAGAAGTTGGACCCCTTCAAGGCTACTATAGACGGGGACTACGTGGGTGATCCTGACACTTTAGCTCTTGGCGTTGCGGCTTTATCACTCTTTCTTTTTCTTTTTATTGTTTTTCTTTTCTCTTGTAATATTTGCTAAGCTGTTGTGCCTAGGCTGTGACAATCAATATTTATATAAATACATTTTTACCTCAGTGAGTTGTGACTTTATTTGACTTTGAGTCAGAAATATGTATTTGGCTTCATTTCATCATTGTTTTATCTTTGTGGTTGGTTGCAAATTGTTGTAGCATCAGAGATTTCTTGTCATCCCTGTAATATAAAGCTTGTTTGCCTCACGGGCGATTTAGATTTTGTTTACTTCAAGGGCGTTACCACTGTTCACCGGTGGGTTGCGAGTATGCACCATTCAAGGTGTTGGTGCTTTGGGTGTGAAAACCCTTATGGCTTTTCTTTGCTTCAAACTCTATAGTCTCAATAAGAGTTTCGTAGTTACTAGCCTCGATTGAAAAGAGTTATTGAACTTTCTCCATCTCACTAGGAATTGTCCCCAGTCAAAGGTAAGGTTCTCGTCCCAGTACCTAGGGTTGGCCTGGTTTGGGGTGGGGCGCTTTGAGCTCCATCGCCTACACTCTTAGAATGGCTAGTTTCAAAGAGAGGGTGCACCAACTACATTGAGAAGAGTGCTCAATAAACACGAAGATTATCTTAAAATACCAACTTACGATATTCTACATGGAACGCATAATATTATTTGCGGTCACTACATTTAACAATTAGTATCTCAATTATAGAAATTGTGCAACTGTTTTAAAGAGTGTCTAAATACTATAAAGAGTTGTGAGAATATAGTGTTATCTCTTTGATTCTATATTCTTTGGCTGGATGGGGTGTCGGTATTGACGAAATTCTCTCAATCCGCCCACTGGAATGATGGTTTGTGAGATCCATCTGAGCATTCTTGATCAACAAACACCTTAGCACATTTGAGGATGTTGTCTGTTAATGATTATGGATATTTTGATGCCACAAAACTATCTTCAGGAGTAACTCGGTACTACCTCTTCTTAAATATGGGATGGTGGCTTCCTAGGTTCCTCTTCGCTTTGGGGTCGACGCTCTCCTTGGTCGTTTGAAGCTTGACCGACGGTATGTCCACCGGGACATGTTCGGATTCTATTCTTGTCGAGTATATAATCAAACGAAGATGAGATTTATTGAAGGAAATTTCTCCAAAGTCTCTCATTTGCCTTTACATATTGACCCCAATTTATTTCTTTATTTTACCTGATCTCCTCTTTACAGATCGACAAGGCAGGGCGGGAAATTAAATGAAAATACTGATCAAATATGTCTTTTTCCTCTCGCATTTCTCCTTGTGGGGCGTGATCTTTACCATTTCATTAGAGTGATATATAAAACTACCGAAGATCAAAGGGTTTCTGCAATCATGCGCATCTGGTTCTGGTTGGCAGAGATCTGGTATCTCTATGGTCTAAATTTGAAAATTGTTGTTTGACGTCTATTCCTACGAGGCATCTCGTAAGGAATTCATTTGACGTGAGAACTACTGTGACCACCAGCAGGTCCATATCTACGATCTGTGTAACTTCCATGTCCTTCAAACATCTTTGCACCTTTAGATTTCCAATTTTATGCAATATCGCCTTTGGACTCCATCAAGTAAATGAACATTGTGGGTATCAGCGATGTCAATGAAGTAGATATACTAGAACCAAAATATATGGTACTCCATGCCGTAACGATGTACAGTACCATTCATGATGATATCTGCTTTGATTGTTGATAATTCCATACTTGAAGTTCAATTTACTCAGCTATGATCTGTAATTCCAGTGCGAGCAATCTTTGTTAATCGCTTAGAGTTCTTTCACCTATTGTAGAAGGCACATTCGTCATAAGTCTACGCTAGAAGCAATTACGACAAAGATCGTGTGGATGATAGGCAATTGGAGTGAAGCGTGATTAGGAAGATGATCAGGAACCTTTGAAAGTATATCGGACATAATGACCTCCATTATTCGAAAATTCTTATACAATTCAGAATTTGGATATAGGATAATCCATTCGTAGAGTTTTTGCGAGAATTGAAGTTGAAAAGATGTTTGATCTAATCGAACACGGTGAATCCTTGTGTTCGATTATGAATGTTGGCCTCAGAAGGTTACAAATTGGTAACTAAAAAGTGAACGTGAAATCGTATAAAATGCAGGAATTAGAAGTTGTTTCTCCCAGACGGCGCCATTATTTCGTAATGGAACTAGAATTCAATGTTATTAATGAATTGAGAATCTTGAACCAGTGGTATTGATCTCCTATACGGTGGCCTGGGGTGGACCTGCAAGGTTAACACTCCAATGCACAAGTCAGTTCAAGATTAAAGATCGTGAAAAGTAGAAATCAAAAAGTATACCTTGATTTTCGTGTGAAATGAGTTTTATATCTTAGGTCAAGTGGAATGACTTTGAGTTAAATTAGATCTCAGTTACTTGGACTGTTCACTAGCTCAGTACATGGATCAATCTCATCGTCACTAACGCCCCCCCGCACATCGAGGAGCCTCCTTTTAAAGGCAAAGTAAAACTCCACATAGACTTGACCTAAGATTTTGAGAGAAGACACTCAATACCCAAGTCTTCATTATTATAATTTACTAACAATAGTAGTATGAAGTTATTTTAAATTTCACTTGCACATAAAATCGAGATGTTAATCTTAATTAATCTCTAGTAACTTCTAACTAGATTTTTAGACTTTTATTTATTTATATTTTGTCATTTATGTTTATTTTAAAAAAATAAAATTTATTATAGAGTGACAAAAGGAGATTGGCTCATATTTTTGTTTATACTTTTACGTGAATGAATCAAAGTTTTAGATCTGTATGTTTTAATATAACAGTCTGTTTAAGTTTCTACCTACTGTTATTATTTAAAATTTTATATTTTTAAATTAACATAAGTATTTATTTAAAATTTTATATTTTTAAGTTTAAAATATACAATGCCAACGGATCTGGTTTGCTATGCCTCACCTTAAACAAATTAAAATTTTAAATTCGCATGTATACAGTGTCCTACTCTATTTCGTTTCTCATGGATAATATATTATTATTGTAATCCACATTATTCACATGTTATTCCCTTTCTTATCATTCACTATTTTACTCATTACAATAAACAAATTATATACATAAAAAAAAAAAAAAGTTTTTGAATTTAATAAATTATTATATCATTCAACAATAGTACATATTATTCTAAATCCGACAATATAAATAACTGTCGTTCCCCTTCCTTTCTTCACCACACATTTTCTTTCCACTTTCCACCTCTTCTTCTCCAACCCAATCATGAGCAAAATAAAACAATCCCTCGCCGGAATCTCAAACTCCGGCAACAACAACAAAAAACTCATCCTCACCCTTTTCACATCGGTTCTCATTATAACCGCCATTGTAGCAATTGTCGCAACAACAACGGCCACCAAAAACTCAAACAAAACCAACAAAATCACTTCATCGTCTCTCTCACTCTCTCACCATTCTCACACCATTATCAAATCCGCTTGCACCACCACACTCTACCCTGAGCTTTGTTTCTCCGCCATTTCCTCTGAACCAAACATAACTCACAAAATCACCAACCACAAAGACGTTATCTCAGTCTCTCTCAACATCACAAAAAGAGCAGTCGAACATAACTTCTTCACCGTGGAGAACCTTCTCAAGCTGAAAAACCTCACCGAAAGAGAGAAAACCGCTCTTCATGATTGTTTAGAAACCATTGATGAAACACTAGATGAACTCAAAGAAGCTGAGGAAGATCTTGTGTTATATCCAGCTAAAAAGACAGTCTATCAACACGCTGATGATCTGAAAACTCTCATAAGCGCCGCCATTACCAACCAGGTAACTTGCTTGGACGGTTTCTCTCACGACGGTGCTGATAAGCGAGTGAGGAAGGTTCTAGAAGAAGGACAAGTCCACGTGGAGCATATGTGTAGTAATGCATTAGCCATGACGAAGAACATGACGGATACAGACATAGCAGAATTTGAACAGAATAACACGGTGTTGAAAAGTGAAAGAAACGGTAGAAAATTATTGGAGGAGGAGAATGGAGTGAAGTGGCCGGAGTGGATATCGGCGGGGGATAGGAGGCTGCTTCAAGGAGGAGCCGTGAAGGCGGATGTGGTGGTCGCGGCGGATGGGAGTGGGAACTTTAAGACGGTGTCGGAGGCGGTGGCGGCTGCTCCTTTGAAAAGTAGTAAGAGATATGTTATAAAGATAAAAAGTGGGGTGTATAAAGAAAACGTGGAGGTGCCAAAGAAGAAGATAAATATAATGTTTTTGGGAGATGGTAAAACTACTACTATTATTAGTGGTGACAGAAATGTTGTTGATGGAAGCACTACTTTTCACTCTGCTACTGTCGGTAAGTTTTTTTTTTCAATTCACTATTATTTTAAAATATATATTGAAATTTATTGGAAAATATATTTTATATTTTAGTTGATAAGTGGGTTTTAAAAAATAAAAAGAAAGATAATATATGGTAACGGTCGAATATATGAATGAATATTTAAATGTTCCCCATATGGATACAATGAAATGATGTGCATGTGGTGTCCTTTTGAATATGGTATGTTTGTTTATTTACACATTATAATCATACAAAAAAAAACTTAGTTTATGTTTGATATAGTATGCTAGTTTATGTTTGAACATGGTATGTTTGTTGATATACACAATAATTATAATGATAAAATAAAAACTATTAATTTTTTTTAAAGCTTGTAGATGAAGTGATAATAATTAGGGATGACAAATGAGCATATCTGTTTCGTTTAAATCTGTCTTAATAGAAAATAAGACAGAACGAAGCAGACATATTTGAGAGCGCGCAACCTTAAAATTTTAACTTATTCAACCAAAAAAATGTGATGGGTAATAAAAATTGCAAAAAGACTGAAAATAATATAATGGATAGAATATACACGATAAAGAATGTGAGTCTAAAATTTTAGTACATCCGACGCATAAGTCGGATAAAATGGACATATTAAACATACTAGAACTCAAACCATAACCCTAATGATAATATCCAACTTAATACCCTCTCTTAATTTTTTGACCCTCACTTGTTGAAATCTTGAAACTAGTCATGATATAAATTTGGAAAAATATTTAGTATTATGTTTTTTATATGCTGACAAAAGTGTCCCCCTATAAGTACCCTATACATTAGAATTATTGAAAAAGTTGTTTAGCTACTTGAATGAATGAGTCATTGAAGTGTGAATATGAAATCCAATTAGGCAGAAAGGTATTGGTGTACTTTTCAAATAGCTTGAATCATAGTAACTTCACATGGCTGGGCCACCACTAATCAACATTTTATTCATCAGATTTTAATTTTAAAAATCAACAAAAATTATAAATGAGCTGCGTTACGCGTTAACACTTATTTTTGTATGGATATGAACAACAATTCTAAGTTCTCAATTATTATTATTATTAGTATTTTTGTCAAAAAGATTCATCATATATTATAACTAAGAAAATCTGTTTCTTCATATCAAGGAGTCAGTGTTCACATGGAATTTTTTTGTTTTTATGTGTTTTCTGATATTGGATATTATTTTTTAGTCAAATATACAAACATATGGTCTCTTATTGTGTTCATGCTTTGGATTTATCAAATAGTTTAAAAATATTCTGCAAACAAAGCATAAAATATCTTTTATTTTTCACTTCCATCACAAACTTAATCTTCATATTCATTCGTAACTTTTTTGTTAAAAAAGTATTACTTTTTCTATGTATAAGACTAGGATAAGATAAAAGTGTACACTTTTATTAAAAAAAAAGAAAGAAGATTTTATATCTGAATAGAGAAAATGGATTGGAATCCAGCTAGACAAATTTGGCTTTAATATATTCGAATTAGGTTCTGAGTCTCTTTCAGCTTTTTTGCTTAAGCTTCAAGTTTGAATTTTCAAGCCATGATGCTTTTTAATTTGCTTCAATCATGCATGGCTACCTAGACATTATGACCATAATCTTGCATGAAATTTGGGCTATTAATTTAATCCTAAAGTCACTTTCATATCAAAATCAATTGCTCTCCTGTCATTATCTTGTGTCCTATAAAACGTCTTAGAAACTAATCTTACCACATATTTTTAGTTATATTATAACTAAAATCCAAAAATCTAATCTTAAATATCTCATGTCATGCCATAACTTATGCATATCCCACTTCTCAAATTGGCTTCTAATTAGATGTCTTTTTCTACTATATCGAATCTTAGTTTCACCAAATAATATTTAAACATATTTTAAAATTTTATAAATATATTAATTTTAAGTCTTGATTTTCACAAAACTTATACTACTACAAAACCGATAATGCAAACAAATATTTAATTTAATTTTTATTAATTTGTCGATTTATTTAAACTTCATTTAAATTATTTATAATAGATTAATAAGTCAACTAAATTTTAAAAAGCTAATACTCAAATTTTTTGACAGTGTAAATCAGATATAAATTTAAATTTTTCTGAGTAAAAGTCTAACTCGACGCTGTTTATACCGACCCTAATTTTAATACACCTTACACTTTTATTACCTAACCTATGAAGCATGTTCAACAATAGTTGGCAAGAAAAATGTAGTTAATGAGTATGGACTTATCTCATCAATGTCCTCTCAAGTCTCAAGTTGGCTAAAAAAAATGTAGTATATTGATGACAAATAAGTGTCATGCTAGCTTTTAGTTGTGCAACTTAATTGCAACCAATTTTGTGTTCCATTTACTAACAATTAGAGTTGGTAACCATGACACACAATATTGGTTGAACACAACTCATTCCCCACCACTAACAAGTGGGCACATCCTTTTTGTATTGTCAATTTCAACATCCTTAATAAACATAAACATGTGTAAGTGAAACAAAAAAAAAACATTTTTTCATGATTCTCTTTACATGCAATTTTGCAGCCATAGTAGGAGCAAATTTTCTAGCAAGAGACATAACATTCCAAAACACAGCCGGTCCAGCAAAGCACCAAGCAGTGGCCCTAAGAGTTGGTGCAGACCTCTCAGCCTTCTACAACTGCGACATCATAGCATACCAAGACACACTCTATGTCCACAACAACAGACAATTCTTCGTCAACTGTTTCATCTCCGGAACGGTCGACTTCATCTTCGGCAACGCGGCGGTCGTCTTCCAAAACTGCGACATTCATGCAAGACGTCCAAACTCAGGACAGAAAAACATGGTGACTGCACAAGGAAGGGTTGATCCCAACCAAAACACTGGAATAGTGATACAAAAATGTAGGATAGGTGCAACTAAAGATTTGGAGGGTGTGAAGAGTAGTTTTCCTACTTATCTTGGAAGGCCTTGGAAGGAGTATTCAAGAACAGTGATTATGCAAAGTGTTATTGGTGATGTTATTGAACCTGTTGGATGGCATGAATGGAATGGGAATTTTGCTTTGGATACTTTGGTTTATAGGGAATATTTGAATACTGGTCCTGGTTCTGGGACTTCTAAGAGGGTCACATGGAAAGGGTTTAAGGTTATTAGTAATGTTGCTGAGGCACAAAGTTTTACTGCTGGGAATTTTATTGGTGGGTCTAGTTGGTTGGGCTCAACTGGATTTCCTTTCTCTCTTGGGCTTTAAATTAGGCCCAAATAGTTTTTTTTTTTCAGTTTTATTTTGTTATTTATTAAGTGGGAGAGAGTAACAAAGTTGACCAATAAAAGTATATAAAGAGAGCAGAAAAATGGAAACAGAGAGATATTGTTGCTCAAGATGAAGTTTTTTTTTTTTTTTTGTATTTGACATGTATTTATTGGATTCTGGTAAAAGGCCATGATCTATCTGTGGCTTGACCTAAATTATTGTGATATTGGCATTATTTAAATGGAAATAAATGTATTTTTGATTTATTAAGCCTTTAGTTTGATCAAGAATGTAAGTTTGTTATGGCTTTATAATTTTAGATGTAAAGCTACTTTGTCGCAGGATCAGGTTCATAAGTCCTAACAATGATTAACAGGAACATTGTTTACTATGGTCTCCAAGAAAAATGATTAATTTAAGTCTTGCAAAAGATACTCAGGCCTTTTTGAAAATGTATTTCAAACCCTGAAATACATATTTATCATTATCGTCATTGGTGATACAGTATAGGTTTAAAGCATTGAACCACTAAACACACACAACTAAATAAAATTCAAATTTCCATTCAAACTTCTAAGCATTTGTTCTATTCGCTCCCAAATCAAAGATGTTACACAAACTATTAGAGCATTTGTATGGCAATGTAACAAATCAGACAGTAAATAAGAACAACATGAATACAGTAACAAAGCCAAGCTAAAATATTCATTTACATTTACATTTATCTAATCAGGGGCATTATGATCGGGTTATATGGCTTGTTTATGACAATTCAAATAGTCTTCTACAACACAAGATAAATGTGTTAATATTACTAATGAAAATAAATGACAAATAAATAACAAATAGAAAAATACCTTGTTAACCAACAAAGCAATTTATACATCATGCACTCTCCAACTTTTTCTATTTCATATCTCGATTCTTTATATCTTTACCATATCAATGACAATTTATAGCATTTTTCTCAGTTATAACATAAAATAAAAGAAATACTTCTCTATTAAATAAAGGAAATACTACTCAATTATAACACCCTAAACTGCAATAGCTAATAAAGAAAATATTATCTAGTAAAATTTAAATAAAAAAAAACCTAAAATATAAGTGTGTGGTCATTTAAGATTTTAGAAGACAAAATTCAAAAGCATTTTTCTCATGCAACAAATAGATTTCCATGTTTTTTTTGTCAATAACATATTAACCCCTTTTTATATAAACTAAAAATAAAATAATTCAAATCCCTCTACATTGAATGCTAATTTTTCTAAATCAGATATCTTTCAATGAATGAAAGAATAAAATTTCTTGCAGTTAAAAAATTAACTATAACCTAATTAAATCAACCATAAAATATAATTACTAAAATAGAACATTAAACTTCGAAAACATAGACATAAACTTTAAGGACTTACATGTTTTGTCTCTGCACGACGTCCAACCCACCTTTTGTTCTTTTTTTTTTTTTTGTGGGTGGCCATGAAGAGCCCGTTAGGATGGATGGTGTGAGATGTTGGATCAAACTCTAGTATGGTCGAAGTCTGTTCGCGAGTAATGCGTGTTGTAGTTGAAGTTTGTTCTAACATGCATTAGCCAATATTGCTAGGGTTGTTAGCATGTTGAATTGGGTCTTACTTGTAAGCCCAATTGTTTAAGTTAGCTTGTACCCTAAGTTGGCTTGTAATGGGTAATTGTTAAAAAGCCCATTAGGTTAGTGTGTTATTTTATTATAAATAGGATGATAGTTTCTCAATCTTAGAATAAGGAAAAATAGGAAGATAAAATCCTAATTTCAAGGGAGAGAGGTTATTTTGTTATTCTTGTATACTTGTAATCTTGTTCTAAGAGAAAGGAAAGAATAGCAGTTTAATAACCAATCCTTGTTGTTTTACCTTATTTTCTTTGTTAACCCTAACCCTTGTGAGTTTCTTGATTATTAAGAAATTGTTTATACTTTGTTTAAAGGTATCTGATTCACAACAAATTGGTGCGGTGAGCGTGGAAAAGATGCCTTCAACAAAGTATGAGATTGAAAAGTTCACCGGAGTGAACGACTTCGGTCTGTGGCGCTTGAAGATGAAAGCCCTGTTGGTTCAGCAAGGTTGTTTGGAAGCGTTGAAGGGTGAGGCAGCCATGGACGCTGCGTTAACGGAAAAAGAAAAGACGTTGCCCAGTTGCAAGTTTTTCCACTATATCCAGTTAATAAAGCTGCATGAAGAATGCCAGTTTCTTGTGTTATAGGGTTAGATCCAAGGTGGAGATTTGTGAGATGTTGGATCAAACTCTAGTATGGTTGAAGTCTGTTCGCGAGTAATGCGTGTTGTAGTCGAAGTTTGTTCTAACATGCATTAGTCAATATTGCTAGGGTTGTTAGCATGTTGAATTGGCGTTGCTTGTAAGCCCAGTTGTTTAAGTTAGCTTGTACCCTAAGTTGACTTGTAATGGATAATTGTTAAAAAAACCCATTAGGTTAGTGTGCTATTTTATTATAAATAGGATGCTAATTTCTCAATCTTAGAATAAGGAAAAATAGGAAGATAAAATCCTAATTTCAAGGGAGAGCGGTTATTTTGTTATTCTTGTATACTTGTAATCTTGTTCTAAGAGAAAGGAAAGAATAACAGTTTAATAACTAATCCTTGTTGTTTTACCTTATTTTCTTTGTTAACCCTAACCCTTGTGAGTTTCTTGATTATTAAGAAACTGTTTATACTTTGTTTAAAGGTATCCGATTCACAACAGATGGGTCAATTGAGATTCTTAGTAAATAAAAAAAGACAATATATATATGGTTACAATGTATATCAGATATAATTATATTAATGTATTGTAATTACAAATAGAATACGCACCAACTCAAGAGCAACGTCATGATGAGCCCTATGACCTGTGGTATGCACTGCCCCACCATTACTTAAAGCTCGATTATTTATATTTTATTCAGAGAGATTTTTGAAATCATCTTTCTTCCACTGGTCAAGAAGATTCGTCATGCATTTTCATCCATCCAAGGCGACATTTCCATCTTTGACATAGCCTTATAAAATATATCATTCAATCATTTACTGCATTTCTAATGAAACATGTCTTTCATTTGAGCGTCATTATAGGGTTCATAGCAAACAAGCAACTGACGAAATATATAAGTAGTAAAAAAATTTGACACATATAAGTAGTAAATTAAACTCTAAAAAAGTATACATTATCATCAAACTACCAAAAAAGAAATTACATTTCTTACTTTAAACATGTCAAACCATTCCTTTATCTCTTTTTCTCTTTCTTTGTTATTAAGCTCACTATAGCATTTGAAAGTTCCTTGATAAAGATTTTGCACAAATTATCTAATCGTTGTAGCAACAACATTTCTTGGACTTAACCTACTATCACATGTATAAGTTACCATATGAGATAGAAAATTATATGTCGGTGACACAATAAACAATGTTCAAAACTGCAAATCAAAACAATTAAATTCATTGTAATCATTTTGTCACGCCTTCAATAGAATTAAGAACCAAATTCATTGTAATTCAAGGCATCGGGTTAATTTTAACATAAAAACTCGAATTTCAATATAGAAATTTGCTTTGAAAATTTTAATTGTGTCGCGGTGCGAAACATACCCGAGTGTACGAACGCTTGAAATAACAACAGAGTCACCATCGAAGTTTATTTTTTAAAATGGAAAACATCGATAAAACCCTAAAAGAACACAAATATAGTCGTCGCAACCAAATTCAGATTTGGAAGTCGGTTATGTGTGGGGAAGTTATTATCACCTCATACATCTGTTGTAAATATGAGTGTTAGTGTATGTTATTCGATTTCTTCTAATTATTATTAATATGAAAGGAGAAATACTAAAAATAATTTTTCTTATTAGGGTGTTTGACGAGACGTTGAATTTCATTCTTACGTATCTCCAGGTGCGACGGGGAACTCAAAGCCACGTAATTCTTTATGAAAAGAACTAAAAATGTTTTTTTTTCATGGTGCTTGACAAGATGCAAATATTGACCCTACGTATCCTCAGGTGCGATGGTGAACTCAAATCTATTTAGTTCTTAGTAGAAAATGATTGTGTGTTGGTTGATTTTATTTAAAGATGTTTATGTTTATAGCACTTATGTTGTCACACTTTAACGAAATGCAACCAAACTTTACGCCATAGTCATTAATTTGTTACTTTAACCATATAATTTGTGCACAACAACTTCCTACTGCCATATATTCTGCTTCAGCTGTACTAATATCAATACACACTTACTTTTTACATGAGCATGATACTATAACGCTACCTAGGATGTAACAAGTCCCGCTTGTGCTTTTCTGGTCAATTGTACAGTCTGCATAATCTGAGTTAGAATAACCAATTTAGTCACAAATACTTCCTTTAGGATACCATAAGCCGACATTTGTTGTCCCTTTGAAATACTTCATGATTCGCTTCATTGAGGCAAGATGGGATTCCTTCGGATTTACTTGAAAATGGGCACAAAGGCAAACATTAAACATAATGTCAGGATGACTTATCGTTAAATAAAGTAATGAACCAATCATACCTCGATACTTTGTGATATCAATTGGAATACCATATTCATATTGATCTACACATGTTCTGGAACCCATTGGAGTAATTATTTAGTTGCAATTGTCCATATCAAATCTTTTTAACAATTCCTTGCAATCCTTAGATTGACTGATGAAGATGCCATTCTTTAATTGCTTAATTTGTAGTCCGAGAAAATAGTTTATTTTACCCATCATGGACATCTCAAATTCTCGTTTCATTATCAATAAGAATTCTTCACATAGGTCTTTGTTTGTTTCGAATATGATGTCGTCAACGTAGATTTGACCCAATAAAGTACGATTTTTTATTTTCTTAATAAATAAAGCATTATCAACTTTACCTTTTTCAAATCCTCTTTCATAAAGAAAGATTCTAAGTCGATCATACCAAGCCCTTGGTGCTTACTTTAAGCCATAAAGAG